AACCCCTAAACCCGAAGCCCCTGAACCCCTAAACCCCTAAACCCCTAAACCCTAAACCCCTAAACCCTGAACCCTAAACATATACACCCTGGACCACCAGGGTTGCAGGCTAGAGCCTGAAGTCCTTCACTTCGGGTTCTGTGATCCCTGAGTTGGCCTGCGGTTTCGGGGTGGTTGCCACGCCTTTTTTGTCGACTGCGGCCTCCTCCCCTTGGCTTCAGGCAGCCGAAGGTTAGGGGTCTCGGGTTTAGGGTTTAGGGTGTAAGGTTTAGGGTTTAGGGTTTAAGGTTTAGGGTGTAAGGTTTAGGGTGTAGGGTTTAGGGTTTGCAGCCGAACCCTGCGGCCCTACAGGCCACGAGACCCACAACAATAGCCTTGAATTACAGCTACAGCAGCTTTGGGTTTAGGGTTTAGGGTTTTCGGGTTTAGGGTTTTAGGGTTTAGGTCCTACAGCTTTACCGCAAAGCCCTTCGAAACACAAACCGAAACTTTACGGTAGAAGATAGTGGGAGCCATAGGAAAGCCCCACGTGACCCGTTGCAGACCAGACGCCATAGTCCTAGGCCCAAGGCCACGCCCGGCCCAGATACGCCTGACCTCTCATTCAGGATGCAGCCCTGGCTGATGCTCTACTTTACCCTGCTCATCTTGATTGTTTCCATCTCCGTCATGAACCTTGTGCCTCTTCACGAGTTCAAGACAATTAGCCTTTTGCTTCGGGCTTGGTAGCTAAAGGTTTTATTCTGTTTCCATGCCCTCATTCTCGAAGTGTCAGCTCTGAAACACTAAACTGCAAGCAGCAAGCCCTGCATGGATCTCGTGGTTGCAAGCCTTCCCAAAGCGTGTTCGGTCTGAAATTCAGGGCGCAGAGTAGAGCTGACATACGAAAGGATGTCGATAATAGTGGTCATGGTCATGGTTGTGATGATGATGGTAGTCTGATGGCAGCTGATGTCATCTTTCAAAGCAGATGAAGTTATGGCAGTGGCAATCAAAAGGAAAAAGGCCAGGACAACCAACGACGCGAGATTTCAGGGCGGCAAATGGCATCAACATAGTATGGCGACGACGCAGCAAGAGCGACGCATCAAGACCGGCGCCCGCAAGTCAGCATACAGCAGGAACGTCAACGTAGGGCGTAGGGTGAGTAGCAAGATGACCACAACTACGATGCCGTCGTTGTCGTCCTCGGCATCACAGTCTTGGCAGAAAATAGAGCACGTTAACTTCAGAAGAGGATGGGTTTGAGTGGTGGTGGTGGTGGTGGTAGCGGTAGCAGCATCAATGATGCTGGTGGCTGTTGGCAACTGCCACCACTGCCAGTGCGACAGTTGCAGGTTACCGCCGCGCTGGTTGAAGGAACCTTGGAAAATGCCCGCATGCTGCGGCAGGAGGAGGAGATGACGGGCTCCAGCAGATTTGGGGGAGCGTTAATGTGGAGAGTTTGTAGCCAAAGCCCCTAAGCCCTAAAGCCTATAAACCTCAAATCCCAAACTCGAAACCTAAATCCTACAACCCTCAAGCCCTCAACCCTAAACCCCAAAAAGCCTGAGCCCCAAAGCCCTCAAGCCCTCAAGCCCTAAACCCCCCAAAAAAAAGCCGAAGCCCCCCAAAAAAGCGCCTTTTTTAGCCTGAAAGCTTCGAGCCGGGAGCAGGAGCGGATGAAGAGCGTGACCACCCAGCAGATGCTCCCTGAGATCTTGGAGCTCTTCGATCGCGCAGGCGGATTTTTTTTGTTTGTTTCTTAGTCTTAGGGTTTAGGGTAACGGCCCATGGTGGTTTAGGGTTTAGGGTCATAGGGTGTTTTAGGGTTTGATTTTAGGGGTTTAGGTTTGGAGTTTAGGGTTTAGGGTTTAGGGTTTGGGGCTTCTGAATCTCACTGAATGATTGGCAAGGTGAGTGCTACCACTATCATCATTACTAGTACTGGCATGCTCACATGTTCAATTCTCATTCTGAGTCCGATAATCATCGCCTACGAGTGTTCTGTCAACCACTACGATTATTGTTGCTGGTGCCACTCTTGTTGTTTCATTCATGTTAGTGTAAGCTTGTCTTCGTGCTTATTACAAGTTGCCATGTCTCTAGCTTCGAGTCTTGGTGTTGCTATCATGGAGCAAGCTGCCGCATGCGAGCAACCGATGCAGTCATGACTGCACCACGGGTGCCAGGAAGATTGAGCAATAGCAGCATTAAGAGCAGGCATCTTGACAGCTCAATACCCTGAACTAGGAAATAGCCCTTCACTAAACCCTGAACCCGAATGATCCTTCCTGAAGTAGGCCGCTGCAGCTTCGAGCCCGTACAAAAAAGCCCTTTAGTGTGAGGTCTGATCCTTCATGTCATGGCGGTAGCGGCGTTGGCTGACCCTAAAACCCTGAACCCTAAAACCCAAACCCTAAGATTCAAATCTTAAGCCCTAATTAAGCCCAAACCCTAAACTATATGGGGGTTTCCGAAAATAGGGGACCCTAATATAGTACCCTAAATAGTAGGATCCTTATTATAAGGACCCCCAAATAAGGTAACCCTAGTTTCGGAGACTCCCATATTGACTGAGCCGGGCAGATACGGATGGAAGTGGGGAGTTGGCTATCGACGAGATGCGTCAGTTTGAGGAGGATGGCCAAGTCCCAGATCAGATACTGGATCGGGCGTCGGTAGGAAGCATGACGGAGCTCTTCAATGTGCTGGCAGCTTGGATGCAAAAAACGGGCTTGGGCTTTAACTAGCAGGGCTTGCGGGGTTTCGATATCAGTTTAGGTTTTGGATCCAGAGTTTTGGGTTTAGTTTTCAGGATTTGCCCGTCAAAGGATCGTGCACAAAGCCATGTGCAGCTTTTCATCGTCTAATCTTGTTGGGAAGTAGTCCTGGTGCCAGTGTTGAGTTTAGTTTAGGTTTGAGGTTTTACGGTTTTGAGCTTAACTGTAGGGTAAAGGGTTTCAGGCAACACTAGAACCCTAAACCTTAAACCCTCCCGAATTATCGTAGACCCTAACCCCTAAGCCCAAAACCCTTAGCCCTCAGCTCTAGACCCAAAGCCCTCAGCCCTAGCCTTCGACCAGAATTCCTATACCCTATACCCTAAACCCGAAACTCTAAACCCTGAGCCCTAAACCCTATATACCCTAACCAGCACAGGATGTGGACAAGTCCGGTGTCGTCACCCGCGAGGAGTCTGAGGTTTAGGGTTTTAGGGCTTTAGGGCTTTTAGGGTTTTAGGGTGTTAGGGTTTAGGGAATCGGGTTTAGGGTTTAGGGTTTATGGCCTAGGGCTCTGTGCTTAGGGTTTGGGGCCGAGGGCTCTGTGATGAAATATATGTTTACTGGTAATGACGACGCAAAGTTAAGTTCTGAAGAGCCCTCAGCAAGAACCCTTATACTGTCGTTGCAAACACAACAGAGCCATGCTGTTAAACCCTCATAAAAGATCCTTATGGACACAGGAGTTTGCCGAAGGGCTCCTGGACATTTTCATGCGGGACGTGTCAGTCTCCTCCCTGCAGCAGATGAAGCTTCTGCGAGGTGTGGGGTTTGCTAAAATCTCGGTGTTGCTGCAGAAGTGAGGATTCCGGAGCCGTCTTTCCCCTTTAAACTGCAAAAAGACTTGTAGCACCTTTTTGACATCTCATGGATGGGATCTTCAACAAGGGGCCCTGCGAGCATTACCTCCACGAAGCCCCCCTAAACCCTAAACCCTAAACCCCAAACCCTAAACCCTAAACCCTAAACCCTAAACCCCAAGCCCTAAACCCTCAACCCTAAACCCGAAGCCTCAACCACTTGGAGATCCCCAGCTCCTTGCCGCCCTTCGCCCCGGAGGTCTCCAGAACTCCATGTCCAAACTGGAGGTGCTTTGGGCTTAGGGTTTGGGGGTTTAGGGTTTAGGGTTTAGGGTTTAGCAAAAGTAAAGCCCACAAGAGCCTGCGCATCCGTGGCTTAGGCGGCTTAGGGGGTTTAGGGGTTTCTGGAGTCCCTAAACCCTGGGTTTAGGGTTTCTGGAGTCCCTAAAACTGGGTTTAGGGGTTTCTGGAGTTCCGAAAACCCTAAACCCTAAACTCGCAAGGCTTTGGCTTTGGAATCTTGTGCCATGTTGATCGAGTCCCCGTAGAGGCTTAGGGAGCTCGAGTCGAGGGTTCGGTTTGAGGAGAATTTAGGGTTCACCTGGAAATTTTTGGGTTTTGGGTTTCGCAGCCCAATCCCCGTAGCCTGAATAAACCCGAAACCCACCCTAAACCCTAAACCCTAAACCCTACACCCTAAACCCCTGAACCCTGAACCCCAAAGCCTCAAGCCCAAGCCCCAGGCCCCGGCGACCGTGAAGCTCAACCCCTCAGCCCTGAACCCGGAAGCTTTAAATCGTCCAGTCTAGGTATCTTAAAGTACAGTATAGTACAGTAGAGTAGAGTAGAGTAATAGTAGAGTATAACTCTGGTAGAGTATAGGAAAGCCTGGAAGCTCCAAGACTCTAAACCCTAAGCCCTAAACCCCTAAACCCCTAAACCCTAAACTCTAAACCCTAAACCCTAAACCCTAAACCCTAAGCCCTAAACCCCCGCAAAAGGGAACCCAGCGGGCGAGGTGGAGTTGGCGGCGCTGAAATCTCAGCACGCCGTCCTCTGAGAAGAGGCTGCCCTCCTTTTGCCATCCAAAGGGCGATGGGGTTGGAGAAAACCTAGGGGTTTTAAGGGTTTAGGGGTGTAGGGCTTAGGGTTTAGGGTTTTAAGGGTTTAGGGGTGTAGGGCTTAGGGTTGAGGGTTTTAAGGGTTTAGGGGTGTAGGGCTTAGGGTTTAGGGACTTAAGGGTTTAGGATTCCCAGGGGTCCGACTGCGGCTATCGAAGCCCGCGTTAGGGTCTAATGGAGGTGTTTTCCGGTTTACGTTAAACCTATTAAACCTAAACACTATACGAAGGCCAAGCCTTGTATTTTGTAGTATCTCTTTTCGGCCCCCTTGAGTAGTCGTGAGCGCTTGCGCTCGATGGCCCGAAGCCGCTGCAGCTTTAAGAGTAGATAAGACGTGCAACACTGAGACGTCCACTATCCCCACAGGACCGAAACCCTAAACCCTAAACCTTAAACCCTATTTTTAAACCCTAAACCCCGAACCTTAAACCCCAAACCCTAAACCTTGAACACAAAATCCTCAATCCTCGACCCTTGGCAGCCCAGACCCTACGCCCCAAAAGCTCCCCCCCTGGAACCTTAAACCCCAAGCCCCTTATAGAACCCTTGTAGAACATTTATGTTAGAGGGCCCTATAGAACCCTGAAAAAACCTGTATAGAACCCATATAAACCCTAAGCCCTAAACCCTAGGCCCCGCTCTTTCCATGCAGTGAGTTGGACCTTTTGGGTGTCGCTCCGGACGTTCGTCGGAGGCCTGGCTTTGCCCAAGGCCCATTGGAGCATTCCCAGAATGGGGTTTTGGGTTTAGGGTTTAGGGTTTAGGGTTATAGAAGGGCCGCCCCCTTTCTCTCTATCTTGCTATGATCTATCCATCTGTTCATCTATCGATCAACATCTACCCATCCATCCACGTATTAGAGCCCTTTGCCCGAGTCCACACGCTAAGCCTCGGAAGCCAAAGCTCGACTCTAAGACCAAAACACCTAAAGCCGAGGAATGCTTAGAGAGCCCTTGTAACACTTTCTACAACCCCCTAAACTCTAAACCTCTAAACCTCTTAACCCTAAACCCTAAACCCTAAGGAACACTTTCTGCAACCCCCTAAACCCTAAACCCTAAACCCCTAAACCCTAAACCCTAGAACTGCAGAATGCTCCAGAAACCCTCGCACCCCGCTTTCACCGAGTTACCGGGTCCGGTCGAAGATCGACCCCCGTCCCGCCGGAGAGTCTTTCGAAGCTTGGGGTCCATCTCCCTCTCCAGAGGCTTTGAAACAGGGGTCTACCATAGGGGGCGTCAACAAATAACATAGGGTTTTTGGTGTATATTGCACCACTGTCATGAGAAGGAACTGCCAAGGGACCCCCATTCTAGGTATGAAGGCCTTATACTTATACCCTAAGTTTTTTTGGCGTCCAGCTCGCTGGAATTGTGGTGGAACTGGAAGTTTCCAATCCCTAAGCCCGGACCTTACTACAGAACATCCTTAAAGTCGCCCTAAGAACCCTCAACAAAAGGAAATCTTAGGGTTCGGACGATTAGTTTAGAGTTCAGACTCCTATTTTAGGATTGGGGCCCTGAGTTGAGCTGCCACCTAGCCCTGGGCGCACCAGGTGGAAAACCGCTTCGAAAGAGGTCGTTCTCTAAATTACTGTCCCTGTCCCCAATATCGTACCGCACCCTAATGAAAAGGACCCCAAAAGGGATCACTTGGCCACGTACCCTTAAAAACAGCGGGATCCTAAAGCCCTAAACCCGGTAAGGCCTAAGCCCTACATCAAAAACAGTAGGACCCTAAACCCTACATCAAAATCGTAAATCGTAGAATACAGCCCTGAACCCTAAACCCTAAAACCCTAAATCCATGCCGGGATGGTCACCATACTGCTGCTTGAGTGCTTATTGTTACCACTACGATCGCTATTGACCATGACCATCGTTAGGGTTCAGGGCTTAGGGTTTAGGGTTTAGGGTTCAGGGTTCAGGATTTTGGGTTTAGGGTTTGGGGTTCAGGGTTGAGGATTTAGAGTTTAGGGTTTAGGGTTCAGGGTTTAGGGTTGAGGTTTTGCAGTCGAAGCGAGAGAGTAGGAGCATCAATATCCTCATGCCCGTAAGGTAAAGCCTAGGGGGAGTCCTAGCACTGATCATCCATGCTCCAACTTCCGGGGCTTCACTGTAGAGTCGAGGATTTCCAGATCGGGACGTGGCGTGTCTGTTTAGTTTCTTGGGTTTCGGGGTTTTTGGGGGTCTGCAACGGGTTCGCATGGCTTTGCGGAGAGGTAGTGAAGCATATTGCCTTGGAAAGAAGAGGGAGGAGCCTTCAAAGAACCCGAAACCCAGCAAAACCCGTAAACCTGAATCCCACAACTGCCTAGCGTTGTAGGCTTAGGTTCAGGAGGTGGGGTTCGGGAAGTGCTTTCTGTTTATCGGTGTGTATATGTTGTGGGATGGGTGTTGAAAGTGGGATTCGGTGGTTCATTGTTGAGGGCTCGGGCGTTAGTCAGGATAAGGTTCAGGGTTGGGCTGGCCTGGCTTCAGACCCTAAGATTTACACCCTCCACACCCCAAGCTGTTTCTGCAACCCACAACAGGCAAACTGAAACTGTAGGTACCCTCAACCCTAAACCCTGAACCCCAAACCCTGGACCCTAAACCCTGAACCCTAAACCCTAAACCCTGAATTAAGCGCAAAGCTTGACATCTTCTTCCTTCTTTCCTCCCAGTACCCGTCAGCGACCCCTAAACCGTGCATCCTGAACTCTGAACCCTCAACCCAGAGTCCGAGATCTCAGAAACCTATGATATGTATGTATGTATATATATATATACACACATAATATATATATATATATTCTCTGCATTACCCACAATAAGGAACATACCATAATTCCCATAGTTTAGGGCCCTTAAGGTGATACTACCCCCATAATAAGGTGTATGCCATAATTCCCAGAGTTTAGGGTCCGCAGGATTTGTATCATCAACCGTAGAACCTGAAAGTCTGAACTTAGAGCCCTAGAACCCTAAAGCTTCAGCGAGCCCCCAAACTGCAAAGCCAGGAAGCCCCTAGGCCAAAAGGTTTAGGGCTCAGGATTTAGGGTTACTTCGGGTTTAGGGTTTAGGCCGGGTGTAGGGGTTAGGGTTTACGGGTTGAGGGTTTGGGGGTTTTAAGGGCTTAGGGTGTGGGGGTTTAGGGTTTGCTTGTTTGGGTTTCGGGTTTCGGGTTTTACACCCCAAAGCTCTAAACCGTACATAAGCAAAGTAAGCAGTCGATGCTCAAAATTCCTGCAAGTCCACACCTGGAGCCCGACCCTCTTATCAAAGGTCAGTTTCTAAACCCCTTATCAGGCCTAAACCTTAAACCCTAAACCGCAGCCCTAAGCTCTAAGATTCAAGCCCCAAGTGAGCCGAGAACCTGCTGTTTTCCTCCCAGACCTTTTGGGCTCTCGGTTAGCGGTTTAGGGTTTAAACCCTAAGCCCTAAACCCTAAGCCCTAAGGGCAAGGACTGAGGTCTCTAAAGTCGGGTGGGTGCCACACCAAACTTGAGCTCGACACCGGAGCTGCTGCTCAAGGAGGTTCAAGGCTGGGCAGTGAGAGTGATGCTCCAGGTTCGACGGTTTAAGCGCGAGCAACTCCTGTCGCAGATGCGATGATGGAGACATGCGCCTCGGTTTGCACCAGCGGCGATGCTGCTGCCATCGACACCGGCCGGTCCAATGTTGCTGGCCTTTTGCAACAGCACCCTGGGTTGTTACAGAGTCTTTGCAGTCTGCTCATTGATCTTTCGTCGGTGTGGTTGTCGTACTTCGCAGAACGGGATTTGCATCTGAAAGTGGCGCCTGAGCGGCGGAGCGCCTTCGTTGTCATGGCGCCTGCTGTAAAGGAGACCTTAAGGCCCTGAATCCCAAACCTTGAAAGCTTCAGGTTCAGCTTTCGGAAGGAGGGAAATCTAATAGCCCAGGGGTCGAAGCCGAAACCCGACTCCCTCATAGGTAAGATTACGTACACAGAATCAGAAGGCTCTCCGGCCAAGATCCCTTCACAGTTTGACCCAACCCCCCGCCAAAAAAAAGAACCCAAAGCCTAAGCCCTAAACCTCCAAGGTACAGCTTGACAGACAAACATGGTCACAACCTGTCCTTTGATGTTGGTGACCTCTCCAAAGCTTTAGACCCTTGGCTTCTTGAGCTCACTGTCGAAAACGCTCAGGTTTGGGGTTTTTGT